GGATTGTAACGTCAACAGGATCCCTGCACAATTTGCATTTGTTTCTGTTTCGTGTAATTCAAGTTTCTCCTTGTCAAAATCACATAGATATACATTGTCATCGATGTATATCGATAGCCGCTCCAAATAAGTCTTTTTTTTAAACAGGGTTGGACAAATTATCATGACTGCTTCGTATGCAAACTTGTACTCATGTCCTAATAGATCCAGCAGCCACTGAGTCTTCCCTGACCCATTTTTCCCACAATTAAAGCACAATGTGGCTTCTTGTACATGCTCTGACTCATGCTTTTAAACCGGATTTAATAAGTCAAACTGTTAAAGTTGCCATCTTCCACGGTCAAGTATGCATCCATAATTAAAATACACACATTATCAGCGGTGCTGCAGTTTCTGCCTCACGTTCCATTTGAATTGCAATGTCGCCTCCAGCTCCTTAAGGCCTACCAGACCCATCTGCTGAGTTGTTGTCAGAACTTCTAAAATCGAGCCATAAACTGTACTTGTCCTTCAAGTAATCGGCCATGTCAATGCCAGTCAAATTTAAATCTTTGACCACTGCGCGACCCGCTTCAGAATCTGAGTCTCCGAAGAACTTGGTAACTTCATTTCAGTGTTGGTACTCGAACAGTCCTTGCGAATACAATTGATTTCGTTTACCTCCAACCGTCACGACAGTTTTTGGTAATGTGCTGGTTATAAAATCTCGGAAGATTTTTAACGGCTGGATCTTTAATGGTGTGGTCAATGTTGATGTTCCACAATGTATCTAACTTGTTGACCGCTTGCTTCTTCCAAGAATGGATTCGGTCAAATAAATAATACACTGCGCCTTTATGTTTTTGCCTCAACGTTTGGGCCAAATCTCGGTTGGTTACAACTTTGTACACCAAAGTCGAATCTGAAATGCTGTACTCTGCAGCTGTGTCTGCCGAATTGACTACGTTATCGTGGTAGGTACGCCATGTTTTTGTTTGTGTTATAGGTAGCCAGAGTTCCCTGAAATTGTGAAATATGTCTGCGTCTCTGTAGCTTGCAATTTTGTTGCCTTGTAAACTGACGTTTAACTCGGAGACTAGATTGCGTGCCACATTGTATACAATACGATTGTTGTCAGATGCTCCATGAGGTCCAACGTGAACGCTAGTTTCGCTATACCCGGTACTATTACTTCGTCTACAGCCAATACGAAGAATTTGACATTTAGCGTGTGACTCGACCTGCCGCAATCGTGCTAGGATTATGCGTAATGGTGACTTTGCGTCTTTCGCCTTTAATTGCTCGAGGCGCTTTGAGCCTGCGACTTGGGTTTAGTTTTTAGTGAATTGTTGTGAGATTTTCTTACTATATACGATTCTATATTTTAAGAGTTTTTAAAGTTTTATAATTTAGTAAAGATCTTAAACATGAAAGATAACGCAACCAACAACACGCCTGCTGCAAAAAACGTCTTCGTATTTGATCAATTTGTTTTTTACGAAACGTTTTGGCTTGCATTTCTGCCATGAAATACTGAATCTCTAAAAGCATGTCAGAGTTGAGATCCAGGTCGCCAAGCATAGATTCGATGTTAGTCTGATCTGTTTGAATTTCAATGAACTTGTCTTTAATTTTTTGATCCATGTTTTAAGTTAAAGGTTTGAAAGTTACACTCTTTTATAAAATAAAATAGCAAGTGCATTAATAAGGGTCGGAGGAGCTATAGTCAATGCGTTGGCTTTCACTGGGTCCAATTTTCTATTCAGCAGCCTGAGTAAAGACCGAGTTGACGAAGAGCGAAAGAGACACGACCTTGCGTTGGAACAACTGGCGCAGGCCAAGCAAAGCTGGGAAGAAAAGCGCGTGCACATGTTGGACCTTTTTAACGGACGCATGAGACAAGAGTGCGCAAGTCAGCGCGACTTTACAGACGTGGGTGAAGCGTTGCGAGCTTACTCGGAACTGACGGGCAAAAATGTGTTGCCGTTGCCACCTAAACCCAAGTTGTCCGATTTTTACGTGCCTTTTGGAAGATTAAAAAGTTCGTGAATTGGTGTAGATTTAAGGGGGAACGGCTTTGGTGGGTTTTTTGGCTTACTGGTTTGCTTAAGTTTAGTTTTTAACTTTAGTTAACTTTATTTTAAATGGACAAAGAATTTTCTGTTTTACAACCCACAAGGCTATTGGAAGGGCGAAACTGCCGTAGATCATTTACATCAAAAGACGGGTGTAGACAAGTCGGCTGTGAGATCGTGGTTAAAAAGGCAAGCAGTATGGAAAATGTATTTACCTGCGCCTTAAATATGCTTTAACCGTTGTTGACGTGGCCTCCAGGTATAAAGAGGCAGAACCGTTGACCAGTAAAATGGCCGATCAAGCGTTAGAAACCTTGAAAAGGATTTACAAAAGGTCGCCTTTGATTTGGCCTAAAACTGCAATGGTGGACGTAAAATTACGGGAACTGGTGTTTGATTTGGCACGACTCTGCGTTTTAGATTACTATGAGCGTGTGCAGCACCCCTGTACTTGCCAGTCACGTGACAGTGATATCCGATTTCACGAAACTTATTGATGGGCTTTTTGCAAGTCATACAAATGTAGTCTTTGAAACCACGATCGTTTAACGAACTAAAGGCCGCTTTTTCGCTTTTAGATTTGGGTTTGTCTGGGGTTGGACATCGGCATTGAGATTCTTCAGTTAATCCAATGTGCGTTTCACAAATCCAGCATACACTGCAGTTTTTGTAGATTTTTTGCATCTCACGTGACCAGGCAAGGGGCTTAGGATTGGCAAATGTTTCGTTAATCGTGCGAACTTCTCTAGACAGCGATTGTACAAATGGACGGCTGTGTCTTGACCTCTGTACGTTTCGTGACTAGTGCACAAGCCGTCACATCGTACAACTGCGTATGAATAACCGCAGGGCTTGTGAATTTGTGTTTTAACCGTGTTTAATGATTCTGCTGGGAAACGCTTTAAAACAGATTCAAAATCTGTGTAAATGACAAACGGAGCGTCCTATTTATTTTTGTAATTTTCAAACTTGAGAATATTATTGCCTTTGTTGGAGAGCTCCACTTTGCAAGGCGCCGTGTCCATTCCTTGGCAATCTTTTAGATGTTTTCCAAGCCTTTCTTTCGTTTGACAGTGAGACAAGCAATTGAAACACCAGTATGATTTGCCGTCGTGTTGTTAATGTTGCCCATCAATCGAGAAAAGTTCTCAATCCAACCGTAATGAGCTTTTTCACCTCGAGTAAAATAGAGTAAGATAATCGGATCGCCGGACTCCTCAGGTAAAATATAGTAAACTAATGGGCGTTTGGTTTCCTAAAGTGTGTACATGTAGATGCCGTCCTTGCCCATGTAACCAAATACGTTGAATTTATGAAATGGGTGTTGGAAAGGCCACGTTTGAAAAGTTTACGCCGTCGTTTGTTGTGTAAGTTGAGGTACGCTCCTCGTGTATTTTATAATCTGGATTAGTTTCCAACTGATTTTTGATGTTGTCTGAATATAATTTAAAGCAGCTCTCAACGCCCAAAGAATGCACTGTTGGTCTTGTTCGTTTTGGACGTTGATGATTACTTTCTAGGTTTTCAGTTGTTTGGGCAATGAGATGTAAGTTGCCCCAACCGGGTTAAACTTAACCACGTTAATGTAAAACGCGACAACCTTATAAAACACCCAGAAGGAGCCCCTCTGTTCGTGTGCTTCGACGTCTTCTAAATGCTTGGCAATTTGTTAGTTAAACACGTCTTGACTTGTTGTTTAGAAATGACCGCATTATTTTTTGCTCGTAAATGTGAAAACACCGAGTTTAGTTTCGGTACCGGGCTTTTCAATTTTAAACTAAATGTTAAACTTTAATCTTAAAGCCATCTGCAGCTTGTAAGAACCAATATCATTAAATTCGGCCAACTCTTTGTCTTTGATGTACTTTTTGTGAAATTCAAAGACTGCAGCAAATCGTTGGCAAGGTAGGTATCAGTTCCCAATGTCTATAGCCGCCTTTAAAGTGCTGGATTCTTCGAATATTTACCTCTTCAATCGTTCCGGTTTAATGTAAGCTTTAATCGCGGTGATTAGGTCTTTTCGTAGTGCATTGCCCTTGGTGCCCGTGGCTTTAAATGAAATGTTGTTGTCTTGTGCTGTCTGTAAGAGTTGACGATATGATTGTCGTGGAAGACTTTTAAACTGTTTTTGACTCGCTCAAATTGCCTTACTAATTTGGTCTTGGTGTGTTGTCTGCGTTTTGCCGGTGATAATTGAATGTCATGTTGTTTGACAAAGTCGGATAAAAATACTTTATTAAATCCCAATGAGACAAGACGTCGTTGTGGGCTCGTTTCGGTGTTCATTGTCTCTATTTATATATAAAGGTCTCTAAAATAATATTTCATTTTTTTCTCAAAGTTTCAAGGGAGAGTGAATTTTCCGAGAATTAGGAAAGTCCCGGAGAAGTCACGAGTAACAGGGGGAGTCCCGGTGAGTCACGAGTAACTGGGGAAGTCCCGGAAGTTGGTTCTTTCTGCTTTTTTAAACCCACATTTTTAAGAAGGGTGAAAACCGTCCATGAGGTATATGGGGTTTAGTCGATGAGGTCATCGAGGGTTTGGTGAAAAAGGTGAAAGGGGGCTGGTCCAGAATTGTCCTACGCCTACTACTCCACGCATAGTAAATAGAGGGTGTGTATGGAGTGTAATAAGAGAACAGTCACATTAGAGAAAAGTTCCCCATAAGGACCTAGCGCCCAAGAAACTACAAAAAGGTGTTCTCGAATCCTACAATTAATGGCCCTATAATTAGCTGGATCAATGACAATTGTAGGAGACTTTTCTCTAAGTAACTCCTTTTGCTTCGAAAACTTTGGTTATATAGATTATGTAGTCTTCACCACATTAACTAAAATTATGTCTCGGACCGTTATCTTACATATCAGTTCGAAGTTCTGAATCATGCAGAAGATAGCCCCTACACATTTTAAAAATCATCACGCAGTTTACAAACTGACTGTTTTGCAGGTAAACTTTAATCCTTCATGCTTGCAGGTTAAAATCTTGTTGAAAAAAAAAAAACAGAACAGCAAGAGAAAAAAGAAAACCAAGGACCGGGTAATCTTATAATAGGCCCTGCATAGTCGGCCTTTTTATGTAAACAAAGATGTATTTACCGAAAGAAGAACTCTAAATAATGCGTAAGCGTGGATATGGTACGAAAATGTATTTTTCTTCGTGCTTTAAAACACTATCCGGGTTTCATATATAGCCCATAAGCTCACTGCAAAGAGGAGTCATTCTTCGTTTTTAAAATGCTTCGTTAAACATAACACTTCCTATAAAATAAAGAGCAACTGTCGATGTTCAAACAAACGAACACAGTTGTCTTAACAAGAAGGTTGTCTTAGTTTGAGAAGTAAGCTGTTGTGTCTTGTAATATACTTCATTTCTACTGTGAGGGACCTGAACTGTTGATCCGTTCAGTTCTGCGCAAGGAGAAAAGTTGGATCGATTTGGTTGGATCGAGACTTCGAAAATGTATGTTTTTTGCGATACAATCAAGAGGCCAAAATTTATTTTGAGACAGCTGAGGCTTCCGGGGTATAATCCATTCCCCAAGCAATGCGAGGTAAAAGGGTTTAAACTAGGACCTACCCATTCAATATTCACGAACTGTCATAAAAGGAAGCAAATGCCATTTTACTTGATATTTATTTCGGCGAAGAAACCACCACCACTCATATCTTGGAAAAAGACGGAAAACTTTTTTTGTTGTAAAGCTAAATCCGCCGATGGCAAGAAGTTAGCTAGGTCGGTGTTGGTGTCTCCTTTAGCAGGATTCATAAATCTCCTCGATGCTGCATCCTTCAGTGCAGCATTCATGGTGCAAACCTCGCTTTCCAATACCACGTCCGAACAAGAATGTGCTGGCGTCCTTTGAATCCAGAAACTCTGCATCACAGGTGACGAGAAAACAGAAGTGCCATGATGATTTTATTTTCACCCAAAATAACTCTGTCTTTTGTATGTAACCATCAGCCCCACCTTAAAAAATCGACTCTTCCACGAATTAATAGAGCGGGGAGAAACAGGAGACTTCTTTACATAAAGACAACGTCCTTCTGCAGCCTGCTTCTGCATGACGTGTACAGTCTGTTGATGGAGACATGCACATATCAAGGGGATCAAGGTGAGACCCCCCAAAAATTAAGAGGAAGAAAAGAAGCGAAACATAAAAGGGAAATCAAAAAGAGAGGGAATTGAAAGAAAACTAAAACTTTTCTTGATTTCAGTTTTCAGTTTCTGCAATTTCTGGAGAGAATGCGTTTTTATGACAGCATCGGTTAAAAGTGCTTTCCTTTCATGTTCTTAGATTATGAAATCTCTTCTTTTGGAATACCCTTCCTGGGAAAGTGGAGGGGCAGCTTCAATACTCATATTCTATTAGCTTGGGTGTTTTTGCTCGACTAAAGGTTAGTGAGACACAGTGGTATAGCCAGGCAAGAGGGAAAGCACACGTTCCCACAGGGCCTAGTTGACCCTTGCCTCGCTTGGCTACGCCACTGGTGAGAGACAGTATTTCAAGTTGATGTTGACTTCACTACCTTGGTTAGAGACTCCACGGACGGCATGGCAAGTCTCACGTACTTTCTCGTAGAGAGTCGCACCACAATAATTGGCACGGTAAGCCCTGCATAAAATACGTCCAAGATAGCCATTATAACACCTTCTATAACGTAAAAGTTTTGTGCTTACCAGTGTCATACACTGCTCAACAAACTGCACTCTACGGTTAACAAAATAACAGCTAGCACTACTGTGAACAAGGATTATGTCAAAGTCTTATACGCTATATTGCACTAGGTTCAAGAGGCGCTGTGGCAATTTTGAAATGTATTTACGTTAAAGAAGCTAAATATCAATTCCTCAATGGTGAGTGGGTTGTGTAGCCAAGGGAATGTAGGGTCAAAGAGCAATTATATTTTAAACTGCTGAAACGATTATTAGTAATTTGTAGTGTCCTATGCTTTGCTATAATCCGACTTTAAATGCAATAAGACACGGACAAGATTTCTGCTGTTCTAACGCACGTGTCAAGTTAGGTCAAATCAATTCTACACGTGTAGTTGGTACTGCTTATTGACACAGTATAACGCTGTGTGCGTGAACTACATGTATGGTTTGCTAAGGTCGAAGCGTTAAACAATAGTGCCTGATTGTTAAAGCATTTCAGTAAACTAATAAAGATATTAAATAATTTAAACCCATAAAAAC